AGAGAGAGAGAGAGAGAGAGAGAGAGAGAGAGAGAGAGAGAGAGAGAGAGAGAGAGAGAGAGAGAGAGAGCAGACCCAGCAGAGCAGCTGCCTCAGACCACCCTTGCTCAGGAATCGCCTTACCGTTGACCAACTAACTGGCTTGGGAACCATCTTACTCTGGACCACCTGGTTCTGGTTGACTTTACTCTGTACGACTGTGGTCGGGACTACCGTTGCTCTAGTTGTCCTATCCACAGTGGGCCAGATCCTGCAGAGCAGCTGGCCTCAATCAGCTTGATCAGAAAGCACCGCTCTGTGAACCTCGTAGCTCGAGACAATCCTGCACCAGACCTGCTTGATGAAAGCCACCTTGTCTTTTGTTTTGATTTGTTTTTTGCTCGAGCACCCTGCTCCCATGCACCTTGCTCTGGACCGCCTTGGTGCAAACGAGCCTTGGTACAGAGCAGGGTGATCCGGAGCAAGACTTTATTCCAGGCAAACTAGCCTTGATACGGAGAGAGAGAGAGAGACTTTGTTCCAGGAAACTAGCCTTGGTACAGAGCAGGGTGATCCAGAGCAGAGACTTCATTCCAGGAAACCAGCCTGGGTACAGAGCAGGGTGATCGTTCCAGGAAACTAGCCTTGGTACAGAGCAGGGTGACGCAGAGCAGAGACTTCATTCCAGGAAACTAGCCTTGGTACAGCGCAGGGTGATCCGGAGCAAGACTTTGTTCCAGAGCTTCATTTTAGGAAAAGCTAGCCTTGGTACAGAGCAGGACGATCCGCAGGAAGACTTCGTTCCAGGCAAACTAGCCTTGGTACAGACCACGTTCCAGGCAAACTAGCCTCAGTACAGAGAGAGCCAGAGACTTTGTTCCAGGCAAACTAGCCTTGGTACAGAGCAGGATGATCCTGAGCAAGACTTCGTTCCGGGCAAACTAGCCTTGGCAAGAGTGAGACGGAGACTTCATTCCAGGCAAACTAGCCTCGGTACAGAGTGAGGCAGCGAATCTAGTCCAGAGAAACTAGCCTTGGTGCAAACCAGCCTTTCTCCGTATCAGTTCTTACCAAACTTGTCGATCACTCTCATTGCTGAGGACCACCGTGCTCTCAAGCACTTCGCTGCAACAACCTGCACCAAAACCCTTCTCCGCACCATCTTGCACTGTACCAGACCTTCTCTAAGCCTCCTTGTTTGAAACCACCCTTGCTTTGGACCAAATTGCTGCAATACCCTGCACTAAACCATTCTCCACAGTTAACCACCTTGCTCTGCACCACACCTACCCTGATCCACCTCCTTGCTCTGGACCACACCTACCCTGATCCACCTTGCTCTGGACCACACCTACCCTGATCCACCTTGCTCTGGACCACACCTACCCTGATCCACCACCTTGCTCTGGACCACACCTACCCTGATCCACCTTGCTCTGGAGTCTGGACCACCCCTACCCTGATCCACCTTGCTCTGGACCACACCTACCCTGATCCAACTTGCTCTCAAGCACTTTGCAGCAACGACCTGCATCAAAACGCGCGCATACTCCAAACCGCCCTGCTATGGACCACACTGCTCTGGACCATCCTTGCTTTGGACCATCCATTTGCGAACCGCTTCTCTCCAGACCACTTTGCTCCAAGCCTCTCTCTCTCTCTCTGTGGACCACTTTTGCTTTGGACCATCCTTGCTCTCTGTGGACCACTTTTGCTTTGGACCATCCTTGCTCTCTGTGCACCACTTTTGCTTTGGACCATACTTGTTCCAAGCGTGGCTTACTTTGGGCCATCCTTTTGCGAGCCGCCGATCTCTGTGAACCACTTCGCTCTCTCTACCACTACGGCCCGTGCTATCTTGAGTGGCATTCACCCCACTGCCGTCTTCCCTCGTAGAGAACACATGGTCATTATTATACCTGCTTGATCTAGGGAATTAACCAGATCCATTCTACAGTAATTTACAATGAAATTGACCAGATTCATAAAGGTTAACTAATCATCATTACAATCATTACATTAACATTATAAATTATGTATAAATTTATCATCATCTTCTGCCGCAGCACTGCAGCTTATCCATTTAGCCGAGATGGTCACAAACTCCCTGCAAGCTTTCGCAGAGTCGTCGTTGACCCTGTTTCCCTCAATGGTGGGAACCATAGCCAACCCCCACTGAGTGGAAGTAACTATAAACCTGAAGAAGGTCATAAAATTCATAAATGCTAAATGCAAATACCCCCCGTATCTGGTTGTGCATAGTGAAATAACAGTTCCCTGGAGGCTTTGCTAATCACTAAACTAACTTCTTTATTCTCAGTTTCTAACTTCTTGGCTCGGGATTCAACCCTCATTCCAGAGTATTTCCTTTTATTCTCTCTCTCTCTCTCTCTCTCTCTCTCTCTCTCTCTCTCTCTCTCTCTCTCTCTCTCTC